GGGGGGGGGGGGGGGGGTCCGGAAGAAGGCTCACTAGGTGTGACCCTGGCTCCGCCCCTTGCTCTCACTTCCTCACCTCCAGGCTGCCTGCAGCTCTTCTCACCCAGACCCTTCCGCCACGCCCACCTGCCTGGAGCCAACCACCCAGGGCCAGTGAAGCTCTCTCCTTTCCAGGGCTAGTGCTGGGGACTGAGATACTTGCCTCTTAGGGTCCATACACTCGCTGAGGTTCACCATCCGTGGCCCCATGCCTCCCTTCTGGTTCTTTTCCCATCCAACGGCTTTAGGGCAATCTTAAGGCAAACAAAACACTAAGCTTAATAAAGAAGATTAAAAAAGAAACCACATGGCAAATTTGCTTTAGAAAGGTGAATGTTCACAGTGGCCCACATTCTGCTTTTCCTTTCCTGAGTCTTTCAGCAGAGGCTGGACCAGCTGCTTGCTACAGCTGCCTCCCATCCTGCTTGATGCTGGGCACCTTGCTCAGGAGACCACTGGACACAGGCGTGGCCCTTCTGGATGGCTCTGGAGACTCCTCCACCGGTGCCCAGCACGTGCCCACCTCCCCTGTTACTAGAAGCTGTTCAGAGAGGATCCTGCTCGGCAGTCTTGGCCCTGGGAAAGGTGCTATGCCTGCGAGATCTAACTCAGCACAGATTCCACTGAGTTCCTCCTGGGATCTGAACCTCTCCGTTCAATGTGTCCCTTCCTTCCTGGCCTTTCAACTGTGCACCTGAGGGCAGAAAGATCCCTGTCAGGGTGACCGTGCTGCTATAAGCTGCTTCTCCTTTAGGCTCATCCTTAGTTTTCAGTAACCCTTTTCCTGGCTTAGTCCTCCCTGCCCTCTTAACCCTTGCTATGGGAGCCCTGGGAACTCCAGTCCTAGCAGTCCCTTGGTGCGCCTAATTCCATGCTAAGAACCTTGGGATGCTGGATATGGTGGTGTACATATGTAACTCCTACCCTCAGGAGGCTGAGGCAGGAGAATCACCCTGAGTTCAAGGCCAGCCTGGGCTACATACTACATAGTAAGTTTAAGGCCAGCCTGAACTACACAGTGAGACCTGGTCTGTCTCAAAAAACAAACAAAAATAAAAAACAGAAACTTGGAAATGCTTCATACTTACTTCTGTACTCTCTACCTAATCCCCAGTGCCACCTACACACATCTGTAGCCCCACACTGCAGTGAGGGAGATGCAAGCTCCGAAGTCTGCAGTAAGAAACAGCTTGATCTTCCCTGGCTGTTTCCCAGCCGTCTGGCTTTCTCCCTCTGCCTCCACCACTCTGCAAGCTCCAATTCACCCCCTGAGACAGCCAGGACATGCTGCTCGATTCCGTCTATAGGTAAGATTAATTATAGGACAAAACCAAAATAAAACCCCTGGCATTGGAGGGGCTATACTGATTTCTGAGGCTTGTGGACAATGAAAACGACCGACTGTCTTTGAAAATGATTTACCATGTCTCCCTCCACATCATCTGCACCCAGAGGCCGTGCCCCAGACTAATCTGATGATGCCTCGGGAAAGGAGGCACTTCCTCATCCAGCCGGAAGCCTGGAAGAGCACTCTGGGCCAGGCTGCTTTTCCACTCCGCAGAAGGTGCTGCCTTGTATGCCCGCGCTGGCCCATTCACTACTGCGCAAACATCCCAGCCTGTGCATACCCAGACTAAGTGGCTGCGGTGGTGCTAGGTGACCCTATGTATGGGACAGCTACCGCATACGCGGTGCATCACCAACAGTGTTCCACATACCTGGAGCCAGGAGACAGAAAGTCTCTGAAGTTTTGTTTACTATAAGGTTGTATTTGCAGCTCAAAGGAAAACAAAAACTGCCTTTCCTAAACCTAATAAATACAGAGAGCCTAAACTACACCCCAGCCCCTTTTATTTTGACCCAGGATCTTGCTAAGTTGCCCAGGCTGACCTCAAACTTGCAGTCCTTCCACCTCAGCCTCCCAGAAGCTGGAATTACAGGCAGGTACAGCTACCTGGCTGACACTTGGTTTTAGTTAACTGTCACATCATCTCCCTGAACCATCCTTAATTTTGTGGTTTAAAACAAACATGCATCTAAGTAATGTTACATGGAAGCTATTTTAGAATGTGCCAGAAGAGGGAGCTAAACCAAATGTAAACTCAAAACAGAAAGGAGACAGATTTCTTAAAGCTTTGAACTTGAAAAAAAAAAAAGCACACAGTCACTCTTGCCCCATTATCTGCTGAAGTCATTTATGCCAGTCACAGGATCACTGAGCCAAGCCCGGACCCTTGACTTTTGCACTCTAGAAAAAGACATCTCAGAAGAGATGCAGTGTCTCTAACACCTCCCAACACACACACACCCATGGACTGAAGAAAGCAATGTGCCCAGAACATGGGGAGGTCATGAAGAGTGAATCCAACAGTGCACATGAGGTGCTCTGCAAGGCACCCGTCCCATCGCTATGTGAGGTGATTTTGGAAAGAGGTATGAATAGTGTGCTATAAACAGTGAGAGGGGAAATTCATGTCATGCTGATTAAGCACCTATAATATTCTAGACATTATGCTATTTTGTGCACAGCACACAGATTCCTCATATGAAAGTCAGGTACGGTGGTACACACTGAAATCTCAGGTACCTGGGAGGCTGAGACAGGAAGATCTCAAGTTTGAGCCCATCCTAGGAAACTATGCTAGACACTACTTCAAAATTAAAAGGAGAGGGGCACTGGGGAATGTGGCTCAATGCAAAACTCCTAAATTCCATCTCTGGTAGCATTAAAAACAAAGAAAAAGAAATATTCATGAAATAGGCATAGGCATTATGCCTTTTTTTTTTTTAAACTTATTTGTTTTTTGGTTTTTTTGAGACAGGGTCTCACTATGTAGCCCAGGCTGGCCTTGAACTCCCTATGTAGACTAGACTGGCCTCACACTTGCAGTGATCCTGCTGCTTCAGCCTCCTGAGTGCTAGGATTACAGGTGTGCACTACCATATTTGGCTTACGTCCCTCAAATGAGTATGTATTCAACCTTTATGAAAATATACAAATGTACCTGTGTACAAATATGTATGCACAGGTACACACATGTATGTCTAACTTTCCTGATTTATAGTTACACAGGGATCAAGCAGAGAGAGGAAGTGAGGCAAAAGAAATAGCACTTTTGGTGACTGGTTTACTACATGGAGAACAGGATCACACACAGCTTTAAGTGCCTACAAACATGTGAGTCCATTAATATTTCCTTCTTCAAGAAGGGACAGAAATAAAGATTTTGTGTTAAACAAAAATAAAAATGGAAACCGGTGTGGGGAGGGAACGCTCAAGACTGCTGGGCACAATGGCACACAACTGTAATCCCAGCACTTGGAAGGCTGAGGAGGTGGAGTTCAAGGCCAGCCTGAAGTATACAGGGAGATCCTGTCTAAAAAAATGAAAACAAAATCACCCTCAAGACTGAAAAAGCTGCCTGAAGAAGACTTCCCCGCGCCAAACCCTGCCTTTGTTCAGGCCGGATGGCGGTGAGACTCTGCTCCAAGGAGGGGTGGGGCATCCTGCACGGCCTGGTGAGGATGGAATGGAGGGAAGTCCTCCTCACCCTGGCTCAGCTCCTGCTGGCTGAGTTCCACATGTCTTCAGTCTGGCGCATTACCTGGGCTGAAGGCCACTCCCGGGAGCCTCACTTCGAAGATAATGCTGTGTGCCACGTCTCTCGCCCCCTGCATGGTTCGGTCGCGGAAGCAAAGGACTTCAATGGACTGGAAGCTGCCGCTCCTGTTGCCGAGCCCAGGTTGGGAGGATTTTATTGGTTTGTTAAGAAGGAAAAGAGAGCCCAGTCAGAGCTTCGCAAAGCACCTGCAGGGATTTCAGTGCATTCCAGGTCCTTTCGGAAACATTCAGGACATTCCTAACCTGGGAGACGCTGAACAGATCCACAGTTTGGGGCTGGATGCCGAGTTGGCTGTCATTTCTTTCTAGGTGAATTTTGTACAGCACTCACATTGCAGAGAGACAGCTGTGACAAATGAAGCCTTCAGGCACAGGGAAAAGTGCTCCCAAGGACCTTACAAAAGCACCTGTGAGCCCTGGGCTCTTCCGGCCCCTTCCTCACTGGGGGATGTCCGAGTCACCTCCCTTTGTGTGCCTGAGAAACACTTTCTCTGAGCCAGGCGGGTGTAAGGAAGAGCACACAGATGCCAAGTATAACGGATCTTGTCACAGGTCTTTCCCAGTCACTAAGGAACCATTTCACCACCTCTAAGCCTTCCCACGGCCTCGCCTGCTTCATTCAGTCTTTGTGCAAATGGAATCAGGCAAGATGAACTATTTTGGGTCTGCTTACTTCACATGACCTCGTGGTTTTTAAATGTACCAGTGCTGCCCACATGTGCCAGTACTTCCAGCAGACTGGCAGCACCCCACTGTAAGGAACTCTGTTTACTCTGCACCCCACTGATGGGCAGGGGTTTTTCTCAGCTTGGGGTTGTTAAGAATGCTGCTGCTGTAAACATTCTGGAAGGGTTTTGCTTGGGTGTATGTCGGTACACTCCGTGCAGCTTGTGACTGCAGAGCTGCAAATATTTTTAACTTTGGTAGATGCTGCCAAACCTTCCTGTAGCAGTGTGTCAGGGTCCCAGCAACCGCGTCTGCAGCTACTCTTGGCAAGGTCATTTGTACTAAGTCACTCTAGGGGGCAGGTGGTAGCATCTCATTATGGTTTTGATGCTGTCTTGTTGACAACTGAGCGTGTTTGCATCTCTTCAGTGTTTACTGGCTCTTAAGATACCCTCTGCTTTAATTCTTTTAGGGACAGGAAAAAATTGAGAGTGGCAGCAACAGGAAATCCCTACCTGAAAGCAATCAAGACGGCCTGCAGGGAGGGCTGGCAGATTTTAGCTTCAGGGCCACTGGCTACCCACCCTCTCGCAGTCTAAAATATCCTTGCTCCCTAGCAGACCTGACTCAGAACTCACCACAGAGGGAAACTGGGTTATGGATGATTTACTGATCTACTTTTTGGTTTCCATGCCAGTAATGAAACAAATAACACGTTTGGGAAAACAGAGATAAAGACAGACAAGACACAGTTAAAAACATAGGCACAGACAGACACACACACACTTGTAAATACCATCTGTGGGCTGCCAGGACCAAAAAATTCCTCAAAGGCCATCCGGGGTACTGGGCTAGGTTACAGGGGTCATAGACACCGACTGTTATCTGTGAATAGAGAAGCCTTTCTGAGTGAGTTGAGAGCAAGTCAGGTTCACAGCAGAGACACTGCTCATGCTTCCAGCCCACTGCTTTATTCTGTTCTGCAAAGTATTATGAATCAGAAAGCCACCTGGCGGAGAGCTGAAGGGAAGAGTGGAGAGCTCCAGGACCTCATGACAGACTACAGAACTCCCTGACAGCAGGAATCGGCCCCTGCACCCGGCATTGGAGCTGACAGAGAACGGAGCAAGGTCCACTTGGGAGGAGGACTGGGAGTGAGGTAGGGTCCTCTGTCAGGGCACACAGAGGAAATCCTCTCATACAAAGACGGGCTAGGAAGTAGCTCCCTTGGCAGTGAGGAGAAAAGTCAGGGAGGATCATGGCTGCTGCGAGTCTGTAATGAGTTCAAATCAAAAGCCAGACACCCTTTCCCTCCCTCCCCCAGCCTCCCTCTGGAAAACCCTACCCAACTTGAGTGCCATTTCTTCAGCAAGGTTGTCCCTTGGTGGCGGGAGTCACTCGGTCCTCCCAGTTTCCACAGATCTTTGTACATAAGATGTTTGTACCCATCACTACACACAAAATGTGGTGGGTTTTTGTTTTTGTTTTTTTTTGTCTCCTCTCTCTTACAGATCACAAACACCCAGATCTTGATTTCTAAATACCACTCTCCAATAAAAGGAGTTTGGGCAATAGACCTGTGGCTAATTCTAGGGCTGGGCAAGGAAAACACATGATGAGCCTGGAACACCTAGTACCAGAAAGTAAGGAAGTACTCAAAGAACAAAGGACAAGGGCACACCAGGGACCCCAGCTGAGAGTGTTCCACGGCCAAGACATCAGCAATCAGGGCAATGAAATAAGTAACCCAGTGTTGGGTTGGAACTCAAAGCATGAAATAAATGTCCACACTGATACAGGGGAACCAATAAATGAATGAAAATAAGGAGACTTGTGAGCTGGACTGTAGATGCTGCCCTCTTCAATAGAGGAACTCATTCCTCCCCGAGGGAGGGTGGACTTAGGGACTCACTTTACAGTGCAGAAACATGGCAAACACTGCATTCACCCAGCAATCAACTGAGCATCACCAAGGACACCCTGACAGCACGTGATGACAAGCCTACTCTCCCCCAGGGTATTCTGTCCAAAAACCCCTAACTGCGATCTAATCATAGGAAAACGAATTCAGGGATGGTCTACAAAAATAACCACCTGTCCTCCTCAGAACTGCGAACGCCATCAAAAACAAGACAGCATGAGAAACTGACAGACCAGAAGAGACGAAGGAGATGTGACAACAAAATGCAGTGTGGCACCCTGGTGTGGATCCTGGAACAGGAAGAGGATGCTACTGGGAAAACAGGTGAAACTGCAATAACGTGAGGCATTATGAGCAACGCACTGATGTTGGCTTCTTAGTTTTGACAAATGTGCCATACTGATGGAAGGTGACAATATTAAAGTGTCAACCTCCCATGATCAGATCAGTTCAGTTCAGAGGTGTCGGGAGGTACTTTAGTGAATGCTTGCAGAATGATGAAAACACAGATGGGTGGGGCTACACATACTAAGGCAAGCCTCTACCGTGCAGAGCCTCGCTCAGGCCGTGCCTGCCTTCATTATTTTAAGATTCCTGGGTGATTACAATGTGCAGCCAGTTTGCAAACCCCTGCCTGACCATCTGCAACAGTTCTGCAAACACAGCCCTCAGAAACCGCCCGTGTCAGAAGTGCCCCGGAAGGGCTGAGCTTGCACCCCTCCACCCCCGCATGCTCAGTGAAGGACCCTAGATTCTCTGGCACCCTCTCATCTCAGCTCTGGCCTCCTGGGGTCTGAGAAGAAAAGGAGCACTTGCTTAAAGATGGCTCTCTGCACCCCCTGGTTTTCAGTATGGGAACTGATTATTTATTTGACAGCTGTGTTTTCTTGATTGGAAAACATCATACATTACAAAGTGCACTTTAAAATGAGGCAGGAAATAAAAAGGAAACATCACAGCATCAGATATGTACAACAACCGTAAGAAATTCTTGATATCAGAAAAATGACAACAGGGGAAAAGAGCACCTGACAATGCAGAAATCCCAAGGCGTTCCCGTCTGCCTCTCCGGCTGGTCTAGAAGCGCTATGTGGACAGAAGCAGTGCCAGCAAGATTCACTTTTCCGGCCCTAACACCTGGCAAATCTGCTGAATGGATGACAGCACTGGTCAGTTTCTCCATGCACCGATAAGTGAACATCTAGGGCAGGGGCCGTGGAAGCAGTGAGAGGGGAAAGGTGGCACCTAGGGACACGACCTGAGTCTCCGTGCAGAACCAGGGTGCAGTGCCTGGTAGTTCCCTTTCCTTGCCTCTAAGCTTTCTCAACACGGCTGGGTCCCTTGCCAGTGGCAGTGTAACCCTGGGGCCTTCCTGGGAGAGAGGGTGAGAGAATGGCTTGAACGACACCTGTGACAGCAAGAGGACGCGGAGCAAGCTCCCAGCCCAGTGCTTCCTCTGAATAAACGAGTTGTCCTCCCTGAGCTCTGCTGGCCTGGCTGGCCGCCACCTGCCACCTTTCCACCAGGAGCACCTTGTTATCAGGCTCTCCCACCAGTAATCCCAACAGGTAGCACCTGCCAGACCAACTATACTGTACCAAGGCATCATCGATTGCAACTTCACTTTAAGTCATCAAAAGCGCTTACAACTTTTGTTTTATTGTTTTGAGATGAGGTCTCGTTAAGTTGCCCAGCCTGGCCTGGAACTCATGATCCTCCTGCCTCAGTCTCCAAAGGGGCTAGAACTGCTGCACTTAGAACTCTACATTCCACAAGGTCAGGGGGGAAGGGCGGAGGCTGCTTCTCTGCTCTGGCTGTGCTGGGACAGCCTATGCTAAGGAAGAGCTCCCAGCTTGGCGCGGCTGTGTTCTCCCTCTGCAGCTAACTGCAGGCCTGGGGACCTGCCTGCCTCACCTGCAAAATGAAGGGCTTGAATCATTTCACCTCAAAGGATTTAGAGAAAAACCCTTCCATAGGTCATAAGACGACAGAGACTACATTAAGCTCAGCCCTGTTGGGTATCTAAAGGCTACTCGGTGAGCTATGCCATTCTTACTGAGAGGCCGAGTCTCACCTGTCAAATAGGACTCAGGCAATGTCCTCAACCAGTTACTCTCAGGTGACGCCTGGCACCTTACTTAACCTCTCTACAACCTATTTCCTCGTTGATCAGAAATCGTCACTGGCTCTTAGCACAGATTGCAAATCGCTCAACAAACGCTAACTATGATGGCGACAACTCACACGCACGCACCGTGGCAGCAACTTCACTGGCCTCCAGCTGCCACCAGACAGTTATCTATCTTCAGCTTCAAGGTGATCTTTTTGCAGTTTGCAGAGAAAAGAGGGGGATGAGTTCTAGTTTATCAAATGAGCTCTTGGGCCTGGGATTTCATCATCAGCAAATGCAGAGTTGGGGCTAAGTGCTCTACATTATTATGGAAGTTCAGGAGTTGGATGCGACAAGTGGACGCCCAGCCTCAAAGAATGAGCATATTTCTCACATTTAGCACAAAGCCAATAGGGCTAAAGAATAAAAAATCTTTTTGAGCAGAAATGACCAGGAATAAGGTTTTTTAGAACCACCTGACTTGAGATCAACTACACAGAGAACAAGGAAGCTCTGCTACGGAAGGAACTTATGGCTGACGCATGGTGGTGGAGGGTGTCAGCCTGAGAATACTTCAAGGGAACAAATGCTCCTTCCGGGACAAGGCCTGCAGCAGCGCAGGGGCCAGGCAGCACAGAGTCCATCTGACACTACACTCGACACCGGCTGTCTTCTCTCGATGATTCAAAAGAGACTCCAAAATCTAAGTACCTTAGGAACTCAGGAAACTCCACTGTGCCAATCAGGACATTAGGTAAACCAGCTTAACTATTATTTTAAAAAAAATTGCTATCTATCTTTCTATCTATCTATTGGAGACAGGGTCTTGCTGTGTATCCCAGGGTGGCCCTGAACCCACTATGTATCCCAGGCTGGTTCTGAATGCGCGATGATCCTCCTGCCTCAGACTCCCACGTACTGAGATTACAGGTATGTGGCCCCACACCTGGCTGTAAAAAGATTTTTAAAAAATGGAATTAGAGCCAGGAGTAGTGGTGCACACCTGTAATCCCAGCCCTTGGGAGGCAGAGCCCAGCAGATCACTGTGAGTTTGAGGCCAGCATGGGTCACACGGTGGATTCAAGGCTAGTCTGGACTACATAGTGGGACCCTTTCTTAAACAAACAAACAAATAAAAATGGAATCAGAAATAAACACTGGCTAGCAGTTGTTCTGGATTCTAAGATTGGCTTTGCTATAGATTAACTGTGTAAAGTTGGGCACATTTTTTTATAGTACAAATCAGCAGAAAGAAGCAAAATGTAACTGGGAGGGAAACCCACGCTGTTTTGGAGGCTTAAGCAGCAATCCTTCCTACCTGGCGAATAGCACACATCTCACTGGAATGGCAGTCACTACCTGGCCACATCCCACCAAGCAATTTGGTGAAAAGGTCCATGAAAAGGAAAGAGCAAAACTGTCAGCTGGGCATCGTGAACCAGGCTTTTCCTTGGAGCTCCCATGAAACGAGTTTATCTGAGAAGTGCTGTCTTTCCTCAGCCAAACACTTGATATAAGAGGAAGTGAACCAAGGAGGTTATGCTTTTTAAAAGTGTAAGGGAAAAAATTTCAAATAGCAAATGCGCTTTAAGGCTACAGCCGGCTGCCAAGATACAAAGAGACCACTGAAGGAAGAAAAAGCCAACTCAGGGCAGAGAAGTAGCTGCTGTTTCCATGCTGCTCTGTGTGCAGACATGACAACCCCAGGGTGGCAGGCTTGGTTGCTGACAGCACGAAACAGTCCCCAGACATCCACTCCTAGCTCTGAGGAGAGAGGCAAGGTTCCTGAAGACTGCCAGTGGGGTGGGCTGTGTGCAGTACAGCAAGGCCACTCTGAGCAGTAAGGGGAACCAACATCCACGGTGGGAAATGAGAACTCAAACACCCCCATTTGCAGCTTTCTGAATGTGTGACAATGTGGACACCTCATGCTATAAGGGGACACAGCTGGCAGGCGGAAAGTGGCAGAGCTCAGTGGCAAAGGTTGTTAGATGCAATGGTGTGCAGGCTACAACTAGCCATGTGGCAAGGGCAAAACAATGGAAATAAGCAAACACTACGAAATTAAGGTGTCGTCTCCTAAAAATGTGAAATTGAGCCAGAAGACTGCAAGCTTGAGGCTGGCCTAGGCAACCTAGCAAGATCTTGTCTCAAAATTAAAAATAAAAAGGACTGGAGAGGTAGTTCAGTGGCAGAACACTTCCCTAGCATATGAAAGGCCCAATTCCATCTCCAGCACCACCGAAACAACAAAAAACAATCTCAAAATGTTCAGCTCTTCAACCCAGTAATTCTTAACCTAGAAATCCTTTCTATGAAAATAATTCAAAATACAGGAGTTGATCTGGGGAAGGAGAGGAATAATTTCATGCCCAGAGAAGCTCCTAAGAGAAAAAAAAGAGTTGTAAGAACCCTCAATGTCAAGAACTACGGCTAGGGTGTAGCTCAGCGGCAGAGCACCTACCTATCGTGTGTGAGGCCCTGAATTCAATCCCCTAAAACCTTAATAAAACACACTACTATACATTCACCAAAAAGGATGTAGAGTATGTTATATTATTACACAGTGGACTCTTGACTTATGAACTCAATTCATTTGCAAGAACTGCTTGTAACTCAAGTTGGTCAACTGAAGGTTCAGGCTCCTCTACCCAGCCCTCAAAGTCTCTCCTGTGTATAGGCAGATCTCAGTGTCCTTAGATTTCTCTGTTAATCCCACACAGGAAAGGATGTTGTAATGTTCCTTCCAGGACTCTTTATGGGTTAAATCTGTATCTGAGACCAGTGCTCCGCAGCACATAAACTAAAATTTTATCTGAGACCATCTGGAAGTACAAGCAGCCAGCATCTGGATCATAACGCAAGACTTTGGTTGTAAGTTAAAACTAAAATTATAGTCATAACCCAAGTTGTTCATATGTCAGGCCAATCATAACTCAAGGATTCACTGTACTATAACTTACTGCATATTGATGTATTAACAGTGGTACCTCAGCTTAAATCCTTCCACGAATCTGGTTGCAAACTGAACTGGACAAGAACTGAATCAAATTCAATGGTTATGTTCAATGTCAACATTATGCGAAATCTGATTCAGTTTTACTATAGTACAATCTTAGTTTTTTTAAAAAATGCACAGAAAAAATTACCAAAAATATATATTAAAAGTCCACTTAAAAATCCCAAAAGTTAATAGCTAAAGAATTTTGAGGGCCGGGATTTAGCTCAGTGGGGCCATCTCCTGCCTCACAGGCACAAGGTCCTGAGTTCAATGTGTGGTACAAAAAAAATAAATAAATAAAAAATAATTTTGTGAGATTTTAAAAACAGACAGATGGAGATGGAAATAAACTAATACAAGGAACCACGCCATAAGAGTTCATTTATGTGTCAGTAGTATACTTCTGACTTAGAAATGAGATCTGCTCTGGGAGAACATTTGTAAGTCAGATTCATTTCTAAGTTCAACAAGGTGAGTCTTAACTCAGTTTACTAGGAAAGTTTGTAACTTAAATGTCCTTTAGTCAGGACTTGCCACATTCACAAAATGGTCACTCCTTGGGCATATCTCGGCTTCCAAACTTCAGGTGACGAGCTGCCAGTGATTCAAATCATTTAGTGTGTCACTATTAGAATTTTTCCAAAAGATAAAACAGAGTAAGGAAAGTATTATATTGTATTTTGTGAAAGTTTGTGTGTGTGTGCACACGTACAGGCAAAAACACGTGTGTGCTGAGATGCAATGTCACATAATGTCACAGACACAAGGTCACAATCTCTTGGATGAACTACAAGTCAGGAAGAAGTGTAGCATTAAGCAACCATACACAGCACCCAGAAACGACAGAGGAGCAGTCATGGACATCCTTCCAGTCAGCGCTAATTCAAGGAAGGACACTACAGGATTACAGAGGCCTCAGTGGTCTGAGAAAGCCTCCCTTCGGCACTGGGCACTGAACTGCCGGCTCTGCCAATCCCAGGAGGGACTCTGCCAGGTGGATCACTCCTCATTTCTTCCAGTTCTGAAAACCAAAAAAGCAAAAAAGCCTGCCTAACTCCAATCATCAAGAAAGCCAGCTGCATGATTCAAGGCCTACAATTTTCATTTTATAGGATAACTGAAGACTAAAGTTTAATCCAAAGACGTTTCCTCTGAAAATTCATCTGACTGATTTATTCTTAGAAGACATAGCAGGAGCAATTATAATGGGTGAGCAAAACTTCACTTGACTTCTCCCCAAGCCCAGGACGGGGGGATGGAGGCCCAGTGGTGTCCCAGCTCAGGAAGCATTCTTCCCAGTTGCCAACTCCTATCTTTCCCTTTGTCTTCCTCAGAGTGGGGACCCAGAGAGGACCCATGAATGGTCCCAGGGTGTGCATTACGTCTGGAGCTGGGCACTGATGTGGGGTTTTCTGCAGTGAACAACTGTTGCTTCCACAAATTCTCAAAGAGGTCAAGCAACTGCACCAGCCAGGCCCAAACACAGATTCACAGCTCTGCATTACCTGTCACAGAATATGCGCTGGCTGTGTATTCTGTCCTCTGAAGTCCACCAACCACTCCGGTGACTCACCAGACAGGTGCTTGCAGGGACAATCTGGGGAAGCCTTTTAAAGGACATGGTCTCAATCCAAACAGAACATTCATGCTGAAGAGATCAGTGTCCATGAGTCCTAGCAGAGCTTCCTAGGACTTACTGAGTGGCTACGACCCAGGGGCTTCCCCTGTGCAACCTCCAGCCCTCACAACAGTGCCTTCCTGCCTGAACTCTTCTTCTGCTGTACTTCACACAACTGGCAGGACGCTATGGGATTGCAGATCCAATGGTGGGAAGTCACAGCTAGGGCACCTCCCTGGCGGGGCATATACTTAAATGGGAAGAAAGGGTTTTAATCAAAGATCACCCAAGAAATGTAAAATTACAACTGTCCTAAGGAAACACTATAAAGAAAGGATCTCAGTGCTACAGAGTCCATAATAAACACAATAAACCTTTCTCTAGAGGTGAAGTGAAGCAGGAAGCCAGGGTACAGGGTGGGAGCTCAAACTGAAAAGAGTGCCTAGGGAGAAGAGTGAGGAACTTTCAAGGGGAAGCCATGATTTGAAGAACACTACAGAGATCCTGGAATTATGATAAAGAGCGAGTCTGGGTAAGGCAAGAAGAGCAGGAACAGTTTCTGGTCTTCCCAGGTTTCACGGAAGTCATTTCCATGCACCGACAAACACAGTGGGCACCGAGGTAGGGAACACGGGTTGCTATGCTGAAGTGGCTGACAGATTACCGAGGACACAGATGGGAAGATCAGAAAACCAGGAATCCTGTTTCAGCTCACAGATGCCAGGAAGACGGCCAGACTCAAGCCCAGTAGAGGCTGATGAGATAGAGCAAGGAGCCACTGCTTCTTGGGGTGGGGAACCGGAAAGGTGGATGAGGTCCAAGCCAGAGACAGACAGAAAGGCATGTGCGGGGGCAGAGAGATGGGGGGCAACCTGTGGCATCTGTGCTTGAAGATTGTCATGAGATGAGGTGGGAAGAAGAATTTCACTAAGGAGGGGCTTTCCATGGGTAGAATACGCTTCAGGAAGATGGCACAACATTAGGAAAAGACACATCCACGATGGGTTCCAGGTGCACTGGGCTGGAGTGGGGACGGGGCCTGGTGAAAACTACTAAACTTCCTGGAGTGATGATGTATGAGAATGCTGGGTAAAGAAGCAGGAAAGGCAGCTTGAGCCAGAAGACACCACTAGGCTCCCAGCCTGGGCATGAGACAAAGGCCAGCAGTGCCAGAAGATCGTTCTGCAGTGGCACATGCAGGATCGAAGCAAGAGGACCCCGACTGCCTAGGAGAAGACAGTGGAGGCCTCGCTAGAGCAGCAGGAGGGACTGGAAGCTAAAGCACAGATTTGAACTAAACCCAGAGAGAAGGAGGAATAACCAGAGCGCTGATGCCAAGTGAAGCACGGCTGGGAGATCTGCAGGAGTCTGGTTGCAGGGCTGGGAGAGGGCGAGGACAAAGAAACTAGGTTCCAAAACACCCTGTGCTGAGGAAATCCACCTGAGTTTCCATTTTATAGTGATCCGTGGTAACGTGAACTTGTTTTTTTTACCAGGTAATAGACACTCAGAATTTCTCTGACCTTTGTCCTTTGACCTTGGAAGAAATCACTGTAGTGTTTAAGTAGGGAAACCAGCACCACCTCGTCGTCATACTTGATTAAGAAGTAAGGCAGGGCCGAGACTCCTTCTGTTTGGCAGAGACCATCATACGCATGCTCGAGGGCATGAATCTGCAAGCAGAAAGCGTGGGGTTGTTCTCTAGACAATTACACACATCCTCCTGAATACAAACTGACAAATGAAGAGTGGAGCCAGTAATCACACCACTTAACTTTTCTAGAACTCTGTCCAGCTGCCTTAGATGGGCACACAGGGACACTTCATGTACAGCATAGAGGCTCCCTACACGGTCAATCAGAGGCCCCCAGAGTAACCAAGCACTTTAAATTTATGGGTTTTTTTTTAAATATGCTGAGTTGTGCAAGCATCACCGAGATAATTCTAGGCTATCTCTATCCTCCCTAAAAGAAATTCAGTACCTACAAGTAGTCAACCTCCAACCATAATTCTTTACCCCAACTTACATTCCTTTTTGAGAAATTAGTTCCACAAACCCACAGTCTTGGATCTATTCTAAGTAAGCCTTTTTTTTTTTTTTTTTTTTTAAATAAAAAAAGGCTACTCCCCAGCTTCAGAATTCAAGATGTTAGTGACTGATGTGGTTCATGAATCCGAATCATCTTGACACTCAATCTTTGCTTCAACAATAATTGGCACTCTAAGGGCTGGGGATTTAGCTCAGTGGCACCACATCTGCCTCCCAAGTTCAAGGTCATGAGTTCCATCCCTGGTACCAAAACAAACAAACACACAAAACAAAGTCAACGTGGTTTTGGAAACAGTGATTGGCACTCTAGTTAGGGCCTGTGCTCTAATTATCTCAACCATCTCAACCTCCCTTCTCATTGCCAGGTTCCGGTGGCCCTGTAAACAGCCACTCAGAGGACTTCTGCGGGCTGGAATGGGTAGGAGACAGCTTGTGTTGGTCCCCAAGACTGTTCCTCAAGGATATGGCTGTATGTTTCTTCACAGTGAAAGTAAAAACCACATCTTGGTAAATTCTTCCAGTCCTTCAAAATGTTATAGAATTCCCACCTCCACACTTAGTATTTTACCAAATACCACAGACCCCTGAAGAAAACCATTATTCACTACTTTTTCAAAATGATTTCACAAGCATCTTATAAACTGCGCCCAGTGCCACGTTGGGAGACTCTACAGGTATGGATTTCTGCATCCAGAGATGCATCTGTTTGTCTTTGGAACAAAGCACAGCTACTCCCACACACCAAACCCAATTTTACCTGTGCCTTTTTTTGTTTTTTGATACCTGTTTTGGTGAAAACCTTTGATCCAAAGCCACTGGCCCCTGAATGAGAGGGATGCTCTCTGGAAGGCAGAGGGCAGGATAGCAGAACCAATAGTAGAAGTGGTACTTCTTTAGATCCTAGAGCAAAGAATGTAACACAGGACATCAGAACACCACCAATGATTAAAGTGAAATACATCTAGTCAAGTAACTTCTCAGCCAGTTAAGAGACAAAAGCTGACGAGCATAAAATATGTCCAGCTTGTCAAATGGTCTCATCTCTGACAGGAATTGTGACAGAATACAAAACTTCTACTTTGATCTCCAAATACCCTCACAGCCCACACCGATGATATAATGGTAACCATAATCTGCTGTACCAGTCACTCGCTAACCAAGAATGTGCTCTAAGTCATTGATCTCACCATTGCTGTGCTTTGTCACACAACCACCCTGGGGGTACCTATACACAGCCCACTTACAGACAGAAAACTGACACTTAGGAAAAGATAAAGGAAACTAATATGCACCAATAAGAAAAACTGAGCAGGAGAAAGAAAAGGATGAGGGACTTGAACAATAACAACAAAAAAACAGTGGCAGAGGGCCAGGGATTTAGCTCAGTGGTTCTGCTGCCTGTGGCCTTTACTCTGTATCTTAAAACCCCCTGCTTTATGCCACATGACCTAGGATCTGCTGGGACTTGATGTATGGTGCTGCACGCCCACTCTTGGAAGTGTATCTCACCAAGTGCCCGTATCAACAATACAACCCGAAAAAAAAAAAAAAAAAAAAAAAAAAAAAGAACTCTACTTCGAAAAACGTCTGCTTTTCCCTCGGTACAATCTGAGCAACGCACCATAAACACTAAGCACACTACTGAGAGTGGTGCAGTCCACACTTTTACCTGGCTAAGACAGCCCTTCTCGGGAACGTTTGGGACCAGAGATGTTTTGGATTCCAGAGTTTTTCGGGCTTTGGAGTATTTGCATGACATTGTGGGGATGGATGGGACTTGAATCTGAACGCGACATTCTTTCATATCTTATTTACATCTCACCTGAAGGTAATTTTATACGATATTTTTAGGGCATTTACACTCTGATGCCAACTTCTCACATGAGGCCAGGTATGGAATTTTCCACTTGTGAGATGTTCAAAAAGCTTCAGACTTTGGAGCACTTCAGAATTCAGATTTTCAGATGAGGGATGCCCAGATTCTATAAGGCTGCTGCACAGAGCCCAAGTCAATGATGTAAGCACTTGCCCGGTGGGAGGCACATGAGACACTCTGATAAGATGAACAGGCCACAGCCCCAGGCACCGGGCAGCACTTCCCAAATGAGCCTGGGAGTAAAGCTGAGAGTCACAATGGCCAAGCAGGAACAGGCACCAATGACTTAAGAGGTGACATCTCCTCGGACAGGCCACTCCCTCCCCAGGGGCAGTGTGCAGACAGGGGACTGGATTCAGGAGTTGTCCTCATCCCCGACATCACGGGCTGCTCTGAATCACCATAGTGCTCAGAGCCTCTGCAGGCAGGGGCAGCTGCCTCATCAACCCACGACCACCAACCGTGGACACTGTTCCTGGATAGTTAATGCATCTTCTAGATGAGAATAAAAACTGTACAGCTATTAAATGACTTTTTTTGACATGGAATTTGCTATGTAGTCCAGGCTGACCTTGAACTATGTAGCCCAGGTTGGCCTTGAACTTGCAGTGATCCTCCTGCCTCAGCCTCCTGAGTGTTAGAACTTTAGGCACGCACTACCACACCCAGCTAAATGACTACAATTGGCCTACAATTCACATATCATAAAATTCACCCAGTTAAACTGCACATTGTCATCACCCCAAAGAAATGCCAAAGCTGTCTGCAGGAGCTGCCCCTCCCCTTCTCTCCCCTGTTGTCTGGCAACCACTGATCTATCATCTGTCTCCATGGATTTGCCCGTTCTGGCTCCTTCACACAAGTACAATCACATTTGGTAACTTTTTAAGTATAATTTTTATTATAAACAGTTTTCCAGATGAGAAAGCCTAGCAGTTTTCAAAGTCTCTAACTCGGCCACTAAATGATCAAGAAAAAAATCCCCTTTTCACAATGGTAAAACAAATGGAAAATTGATATTAATGAAGTGTCTCGTTCTTAGAGGCCTAAAAACAGCAGAAAAGAAAGCAAAAGCACCCTGGAGAGGATTCACTCTTCTGTGTACTGAAATGATTTGCCATAGCTGATCTTTAGCAAAAGGTTAAACAATTCAAGGTGAAGAACCCCACACTGAGCAGCTTTATCAAGTCATTTTCAAAAGTCAAAAGGCTCCAATTTCTCAGGATCAAAGGACCTCAATTAAATTTAACATAAAGCCCTTGGAGTCTGAAGATTTTAAAAGAGATTTAAAATTTTTGTAGAGCCATGCTAAGAATGCTGCATAAAAAGGGTGACAAGGCCCATACAATACTGACTCTAAGGGAAGCTTAAAACATTAAGAGCTAATGTTATTTTTCTCACTAAACACAACTGTCAATTAAGTTCTACTAACAAGAATTCCAGGGCTGCTATTCGGCTCACAAACCCAGAAATCTTTAGCAACATCAAAATCTATCCTAGCAGATAGCCTATAAAGTTACTGATTTATACCCAAATGCCGGATAGCGAACTGCACCTAGAAATCTATGATGTGGTCTTCAGTGTGAGTTCCATCTTCCCTCCTGAGCCCCATGGAGGAAGAAAGGCAAGACCTGCAACTTGGTGAGAAGTGATAACAATAACAACAATACAAAAATGCACAGAGAAAGGTTAACATCCAAAGCTGACAAAGCTGTGATGAAGAAAATCACTTTATACATGGCAGTGTTAATACACTTACAGGCCCACCCCAGAGAACTTACAGTAAAATAAAAGGAGCAAGAAACATATCACTAAAAAAAAAAAGAAACATATCACTATGACCAGTAGTGCTCACTGCACCATTTTCTACAATAGGGAATATTTGAAACATACGACAAGAGTCTGTGGAATGTACCAGAACAGAACACTACTGTCGATGTAACTTCAAAGGACAAGTCAGTTTGATACATATGCACACACACTTATATATATGAACATTCTTTACTTATGCTGGGGTTACAGCCAGATAAATCTACTGTGAGTTGAAAACATCGCACATTAAAAAAAAGAAAGAAAACACTGTATACTAATTATACCCACTAAGCAACACAGCTGAGCCTTGACTGCCTCAATGTGTGTAGAATATTTACATCAGCCTACACTGGGCAAAATCATCTCACCCAAAGCCCCTTGCCATCAAGGGTTGCGGGTCTCATGTAATTTACTGAACACCACACTGAAAGTGAAGAATGGAGTGGTTCTCTGGATATGCTCTCAAGCCAATGTGAGAATGGAAATCCTGAGCTGAACCCTAAACTGGGGACTGTCTATGCATGTATGCACATGGGGGGAGCAGAGAGGGAGGGAGAGAAAGGAAGAGAAAGTGGGGAGAGGCAGAGAGAGAGAGAGAGAGACAGACAGACAGACAGAGACAGAGACAAAGAAAGAAAGTGAAGAGCTGACATCTCCATGAGCAACCCTATCCTCTACCCCCACCACACTGAGCCCAGGTCTTTCTCTCCTCTTCATAGCTCTCCTTCCCTCAGCAGCAGATGTCACCCTCCTTTGACTTCCTTCTCAAGGCTGTCCTTTATTTAATTAGATCTCATGTATAGAAAAATGATTTTTTTTTTCTCAAAAAGCTGTCATCACTGTACGGCCAAACCACATAATACGACCTCTTCTCATCCAGAAGCCCCTTCCCCTATTTGATGGTATCTGGAGTGTCCCTACAGGCCTGTGTAAAGGCCTGGATGCCAGCCTATGGTGCTGTTGAGGGGAGCAGGAACCTTTAGGAGGTGGGGCCTTGTGCAAGGAAGTGATGTCACTGGGAATGTGACCTCCAACTGGGACCCCAGTCTGTCTGTCTGTCTGTCTGTCTCCCCCCGCCCCTGCTTTCTCTGCTCCTCAGCAGCCATGAGGACAGCACCTCCTCTACCAGATGCTCCTCCCACTATGATAGCCACAGGACTGAAGGCAGAGAGACCAAGAGCCATGGACTGAAACTTCTGAAGCCATGAGCCAAGACAAGCCTTTCCGCCTTAGAAATTAGTTGTACCTCAAGTCTTTTCCACCGTGACAGGCTGCTGGCCAACACAATGGGTCTAGCAACTGCGTCCTGCAGGAGCATACGTAACAAAGACTTCTGCTCCATTTCATAATGTCCTGAGAAACAGGATCTGGGTGCCAGTGTTACAGAAACTATGCTGCTGCCTGTGTGAACAGGTGGGATGAATTTATTTTGCATTAGTAGCAAGTGCCAGCACTATCTGGCCACTCATCAAAGGAGCCGTTTTGTTAAAACTACACTGAGTAATGAGAGGGAAGAGAACACGCTGTCCTGCTGCTGGGTCCACAGAAGACCTCACCAGTCTCCACACAACAGGGCACCTATTACTTACTGCAAATGTCAGGAGCAAGAACTTGTTGAGGAGCACAGGGTTTTCAAGGGCAGCACCCGACTTGATGGACTCCCAGATCTGCCAGAAGAAAGAAAAGCGTTAAGGAAGGTTGCTGGCATCTGTGGGCATCTCACTGCCATGAATCCGAGGAGCACAGTGCTCTTCCTGCTCCAGGCTGGCACTGCTTATACTGCACCCCTACCCACGCTGTCCCTGTGCCAGCCAGCTCTCCAATGGCCGAGCCCAAAGAAGCCCTGCACAGGTTCCCTGCAGGCCTCACGCCACTGTCCTGCCTTCAGGACTTCCTGCTTATCACCTGCTGCACACAGTACCAGCCACAGCAAGTTGTAGACACCCTCAGGAAGCACCAAATCCAGGGACAGGCTAGGTCCATGTGCACAGACCCAACTCCCCAGAGCCTCCTGTAGGTGTGCAGACAAGGTAGGAGGCCCAGGTCTACGCAGGCCATGGGACAAGCTGGCCATGAGCTGTCTCCACTGCAGGGGCTAGAGAGGAACCTGCCTCTGGACCCCTGCACCCATGTAAACAAGAGTCCTGTTGTTCTCCTACATTTCATAGCATTATTATTTTAGCGTGGTACTTGCAGACAGTCTTTTGATAAGTGACACATAATTGTACACATTTATGAAGCATAGTGAAGTACAGTGTGATAATTCAATAAATATATACAATGTATAAGGATCAAATCAAGGTAATTAGTATCTCTTTTCCGGGAACCTTCAGATTCCTCTCTTCTAGTTAGTTTGAGATATGCAATGAATTATTGACACTAGTTATACACTGTGCTATAGGATATTAGAACTCATTCCTCCGATCTCTGAATTTGGGTTCCTGTTATCTATCCCGTCTCTACCCCTTCCCCAACTCCCTTTCACAGCCTTTGGTGACTATAACTCTATTCTCCACTTCTAAGAGACCAACTTTTTTAGCTTCCACAGATGAGTGAGAATATATGACACTTGTCTTTCTGTCACGAGCTTATTTCACTTATATTATGCCCTCCATTGCTGCAAAAGGAGATTTCATTCTCCTTTTTTTGGCTGAATAATATTCCACAGAGTGTAAGTGGCACCTTTTCTCTATCCATTCTCCCACTGTCGGACACCTGGGCTGATTCCACATCCTGCCTGTGTGTCCAGCATGGCCATGAGCACGGGCAGGTGGGTGTCTATCCCATACACTGGCTCACTTCCTCTGGATGTGTACCCAGCAGTGGGATGGCTGGACTTACAGGTGTTCTGGCTGTATTCTCCTGGGAACAGTCACACTAGCATACACAACAGCAGTACTTGAACAACCCCTTCAAGAGTGTACACGACAACATCTGGTCTCTCTGTTAAGTGGGTTAAGGGGGACTGGGATGGACTGTCTTCCTCCTTCCCAATATTAATCTGTTAACTCAGCTGTGAAGAAGCACAGGGAAAACATGCCAGGAAGAGAGGGCACTGTGTCCCAAGGAGGAAAGCAGGAACACAAAGGAGATGTTATGGTTACAGCCCCAGGTCCTCAAAGCCTCGCGCACTCATGGCTGGGGTTTCAGGGAGAGGACTGGATCATGGGGGTGTGATACTCCCAGTGGTCCACTGCTGAGGTGAGAGCTAAATGTGATGGGGAGAGGCGAAGCCTATAGAGGAGGCAGTCACTGGAGCACGGCCTGGAAGGGTTCATCTCCCTCCTCCTCCCTTGATCCCTCTCTGCCTCCTGTCTGCCCTGCCATGAGCTGCTATTCTTCTGCCATGTGCTACCCTGCCCTGGAGGCAGCTGACTATGGACCACAACCTCGACAAACTGTGAGCCAAAATAAACCTCTCCTTTAAGTTGTGGATGTCAAGTACTATGTCTCAGCGACAAGAAAGCAACTAAGACAGGAGGTGAAGGGAGTTGAAAATTATTACTGCGACTACGTCAGAGAATGCAAGGACAAGAAAGAGACCATGGAGAGATTGCAGGTTAGCTGCAGTAGATCAGATCAGCCCTGAAGATGCTGGAAAGATCATGTGCTCAACTCCCAGGATGCCATGCTACACAGTATCGCCAAGCCTCTCTGGGCACAGAGGACCAAGCCCCCTCTCACCAGCAGCCACAGGACTGTAACCCATGAGAGAGGCCAAGCTGCTCCAAAGTGCTCAGTGGAAATAGAAAGTATAACCTCCTTTTCATTCACACGTATCTCCAGCTTTTCCCCAGTGCAGAGCCTGGGCTCTCCCTGACCCCCAGACCTCCAGGCACAAAGCAGAGAGAAGGGCACATTTTCTTTGGAGAAATAAACAGAAAACTGCAAACACTTGGTTTTCATGACAGACTCAACTCCTGGTCAGAGACAGCACACTGCCAAGACCCCAAGAAATGGAGTGGGCACACATGGGCTGCCTGGCTAACCTCATCTGCTGCCTGTTCCAGAAGCAGCTTCTTGTCTGCAGCCTTGAAAGCCTCGAGCGTGTTGGTGTTATGCAGCATCCCGACAGCAGGGCAGCAGCGCGCAGGCGTGGGGGCACTCCTAGACATGAGAGACACAGTTAGCCAGGCACAGTGGGACTCTGCGCGAGCCAGGGAGTGACAGATACACCTAGGTCTCTCAGTCAGCTTCTGTCACTGCAGCTTGACAAGGGAGAGATTTATCTGGGCTCATAGTTTCAGTGAGTTCAGTCCATGGTGATGGGCTCCAAGGCTCAAGCAGCACAGTGGAAGGTGGGTGTGGAGGGAAGATGCTCACTGTGTAACGGCCAGGAAGCAGAGTGAAGAGCTGGAACAGGGACACACGCTTCCGGGTCATATCCCAGTGACCCACCTCTTCTGACAGACCCCACTCCCACAGCACAGTTAGCTGTGAACTCATCCATGGATGAACCTGTGTCCCACATCCAATCACCTCCTCAAAGCCCCGCTCTGGACACACAAGACTTTTAGGGGCACTTTAGATCTAAAGCAGAGCCCCAGGTAAACAGCAACATCACTCAGCTGGGCAAGGAACAGACTGACCACCACGTCGGGAGATGAGTCCCACTATTGAGAGACCACAAGGCAGGAGCCATTCCACAAGAAGCCTAGAGAGCCTCTTTAGCCTGGCTTGTGGGCTGCATGCTCTTCTACTGGCCCGCAAATAGATGTGCCCCTCCTTTTTATTCATTCCTGGATTCAACCTGAGTGAAACATTATTGAGCCAGTAACGGCACAAGACTTGAGCATTTACGGCAGCTCTTTCTCCCATTTAAAGACTTAAGCAGCATGCCAAGGTCACACAATACTGGACAGGGTTGTATGGAAATAGAGCCAGTTGGCCCTGAGGTGCCATGGTGCCAGGCCCTGTTCCGGTCTTTGCCCCAGGCACCAAGGCTTCATTCCAGGTCTACTCCTCCAGGAAGCCACTCCAGCCTCTCCAGTGACAGCTGGCACACAGGGCAGAGCATGTATCACAGAGCAGTTTCAAGAACAACAGTCACACACACCTGATCGGAGGGCAGGAAGGTGCCTGGCCCACCCAGTCAGGGCTCTACACACAGCTGCTGCTGAGCAAGTCCCTGTGGTCATCAGAGCCTCACAGATAAGACACACCTGACCTGGGTTGCCTGTCAGTCCAGGTGCCTCTAAGACCCCCCACATGCAGCATGGCCACGCAGGCTCCCAGTCCCCAGAGAAGTCAGGAGGAGGCAGGACAAGTTGACTCTGAATACCCAGTGAGAAATGGAAACATCTATTCTCCTCTCTGAAGTGATTAACGTTTTTGAGGTTACAGATGGGAAATTTCAAAAAAAAAATTTTTTTTGTTTTTTGAGACTAGGTCTCAGTATGCAGTTCAGGTTGGGCTTGAACTCACTATGGAGCCCAGGCTGGCCTCAATCTCAGTGATCCTCCTGCCTCAGCCTCCTGAGTGTGGGGATTACAGGTGTGTGCCACTACAGCCAGCTGAAAATGGTCATTTTATCAGTGATCTAATTACTGTCACTTACAACTAAGACAGAATACACTCCAAGTCAATGGGAGCTACATGGCAGAAGTGACTCAGTGTCCTCTCATTTGGAAATTGTCACAGCAGGTTATGCATGACATTCAAGGGCTGGAGAAGAGACCTAAGAGCCACTGCAGCAGGTATAGTGACTGCAGTGAGTGCCAGGATGCTGCCAAATGCCAAATATATGTGGGTTGGGGTGACTGGCCAGGGCCATCCCCTGGGAGCTGAGTCAGCCGAGCACAGGTTATCACTACCCTCCTCCAGCAAGGAATTGTATCATGCAGGTGAGCAGAGGACATCAAAGGTCATCTCTGGAGAGGGAGAAGTCACAGAGGTCAGGGCAGCCTGCAGGGAGGCAGAAGGGCAGGCCAGGCCTTCCCCAGACACATGGCACTCTGAACTCAGGGCTGAACCAGGACACAGAACAGAGTGGAGGCCAGTCCCCCTCTTCCTTCCCAGGACTTCTGAATGTCCTGGGTGTGCTGCCACACCAAAGCCTGGCTCTGACGCGGAGGAAGTCAAGCTCGGCTCCTAGGAAGCCCAGCACTCAGGCAACGTAACAAGGGACACCACCTGAAGTCTCCTAGGAGAAGCGGTCTTCATGATTGAAGTTCTACCAGGTGAGGGGGCCACGGTAATAAATAACACGATCATGAAAGGGGAACAGCCCCAAACTGGGGATGAGACAGTTAGTTAAATCCTGGTCCTGATATTTAGTAGTTAGCTTTCTATGGTTCTATTTGTATGAAATGTCCAGAGTAGGCAAGTTCTCAGAGACAGGAAGTAGATTCTTGGTTGCTGAGGGCTTAAGGGATTCATAGGGGGTAAACAGTGATGGCCAAAGGTTTCTTCTGAGGGTGACGGAAATGCTCTACAATTAAATAGTGGTGATAGCTGTAAAGCTCCATGAATATACTAAAAGTTGCTGGCATGTGTCTCAGTGGCTGAGTTGTACTGTACAACAGGGCTGTCGAGCTCTGTCAGAAACATGAATGGGAAATCTTCCCATGTACTAAAGCACCCAGTGAATCCTCAGTGAGGCCACACCACTGGGTGTGGAAGTTTGGCTGCTGAGTGTTCCTCTAAGGTTCCCGTGTCAGAGCCTGGTACCAGGCTGGCCTGGGGGGCAGTCCCCTCTGGGCAGAAGTGAGGTCCCAAGGCGCTGCCTCGGTGGGTGGACTCTCACAAAAGCCCATTTGTGACCCTGACTGGGCCCATTCCAGATAGGGCCTTTTGCTCCTACACATTCCTGTCACCACATGCTGCCACCCACTGGCTTCACCAGAGGCCAAACAAAGCACCCATCTTGGACTCTGAACTTCCCAAAATGTGAGGCAAAGAAACCTCTTCTATTTATAAACAGCAGGGCCAGGGATGTAGGTCAGAGGTACAGCGCCTACCGGGCAAACACGACATCTGAGTTTGATTCCCGGTACCAAAAGAAATTTTTTTTTTCAATAAAGTTAGCTGCCTGGCATGTTCCACCCTGATAACACAAAGCTGACCAAGGCACTCGAGGACTGGGCCGGCTTGGGGACAGCTGTAAACCCTGGGCCCTCGCTTCACCCAGCCTCTGTGGTCACTCAGGAATGCAGGGCTCCTCCCCAGGGCTGCTTCCGCGGGGCTAGCAGGCAGGCAGGTGGCCAGGAGGGAACAAGTGGTCCAGAGGAAGAGCAGAAAAGGCTTGGGAGCCTCACTCCACATGTACAGCTCTGCGTGCAGCTGCTGCACCTCAGCCCAGCAGCTCCCTGGGCTGCCGGCACCAGCAGAGACTGCTAGGAGCTGGGACAGAAGGGGCCCAAGACAGATGCAGCCTCTGCTCTGCCCACCCCACTGCACCCTCTCTTTCTCGAGGTCCATTTGGAGCTTAGGTGCGTTTCTTAGAACTAAAGAGGAATACTCCTCAAGGGAAAAGGGCCCAGGGAAGTGCTCCTCACTCAAATGTATCAGTCAGCGTTTCATCACCTGAGGAGAACAACTTCAAGGAGGAAAGGTCTACTTTGGCTCACAGGTTTCAGTCCATGGCCGCTTGGCTCACTGCTTCTGGACCTGAGGTGTGGTGGGGTGTTCCCCGGAGCAACACCACTCAGGTGAGGTGAAAAGGGAGAAGGGGAGACAGAAAGAGAGAAAGAGGCAGAGAGAGGGGAACACCAGAAACACGCCACCACCACCCCCGGCCTTCCTCCTCCAAACAGCCCCCACCCTACAGTTCCCACCTCCTCCCTGCAGCCCACTCAGTTAGGAACGGGTCCACGGATCCATCCACTGACAGGTCAGAACCCCCGATCCCGTCACCTCCCCAGACCCCCTCCGACCACTGCTCCCTGGGACTCAGCCTGCGGCCCTCGAGCCTTCCAGATCCAAGCTCTCATGTCTTTTGGTACCAAGAGAAAAAGAAAACTTTCTACCACTTTCACTTCATCAAAAGAAATGGAGCACATACAAGACGAAGAAGACCGGACCACCCTCCCTGCTCGCGCAATGAGGAACACACAAATTTCCTGTGTCTGGGCTCCTCCATCATGGGGTTGTAAGACTGCACTCTGCACTCTGTGTGCCTGATAAATGTGACCTCACTGACAGCTCTGTGGGGATGACGAAGACCCAAACCTGTGCTGCTGACTGCTGGCAGAGGTCCTTGCGATTCCCGGGACTCTAAAAAGGGATTCATCCATGCTATGCAAAGGTGAGGCCCTCCCACACCCGTAAGTGACAGCTAGGGCTGTAGCTCACTGGCGGCATCTCCTGCCTCTGCATCGCAGTGCTGGCACATTCGCTTACCAAAACTTGTGGGGAGCAATCAGGAAGTGTTTTGCAAATAATGATCACCTCTCCACCGAGTCCACCTCTGCTCCGAGCTTGCACAGTGGTGCTGTGAAAGTCGTGTTGCTTCAGCCTTTGCATCTCTAACACCTTCACATCCTGCTGACTGTAGACATTTGCTGTTTGAGGAATAGATCTATGAAGACTTTCCCTCCAGACCCACACAGGTCCATGGCAACACAAACGAAGACAGAGTAAGAATATGAAAATAATCTGGACATTAAGAACTCTTTCTTGCCATCTAAGGAGCCCCAAGTGCTCTCATTAAACTTCCTAACATGCTACAAAAGAGGGACTCAGAAAAAAATCACACAGAAGGAGTGTTAGAAGCCCAGAGCCTGTTTCACAGAAAAGGAAAAGTAAGCTGAGGAAAAAAAAAAAAATACCAGACTTATTGGGTAGCACAGT